TCCTTCCACCTCTGTTCCTGGCCTTGAGTGTCCCAGGCCAGGCCGCCCACCTCCTGCTTCAAAGTAGCCATATGCAAGCTGGGAGTGTGCCACCTGCTTGCCCACTCACAGTCAGAGGATCAAATATGGTCTGTGCCATTGGTTCCGGGAGCTGGGCAGCAAGCCATCTGTGCTGATGGCGGCATTGTCACCACCACCAGTGCCTTCCATCAGTGACGTCTGCCCCAGAACATCGGAGGCCTTCCCAACTCACTCTCCTGGGAGAGGGTTTTACAAGGTGCCATCAGCTGCTACAGAAACACACCATTTCTGCTTCATACAAGGCAGACAACCGCGAATCAACATGAATAAACACATGCAGACATTCCTGGTCCCCACAGCTAGAACCAGCACACGCCTCCACACCGGGTTTGTCCCATGCCTTCTGGGCTGCGCGTCCTGAACACCACAGGCCAGCAGCATACTCATGCACACAGACTTGCTGCTGTCAGGTGCCACCAAGTTGGCTGAGCGTGACCCCGTGTACAATGGAACAAAATACCGCCCGGTCCCGTGCCAGCCTCACAGTCCTTGCCAGGCCTGAGCCCACCGTTGCAGCCCCTGGGTCAATCCATCTCATTGAGGGCCTTCCCCTCCTTCATCGATCCTCCACCTTACAAAGCATGATGTCCTTCTCCAGGGCATGGTCCCTTCTGACAACATGACCGAAGTAGGTGAGACGAAGACTGGCCATTCTCGCTTCCAAGGAGCATTCTGGCTGCACTTCCTCCAGGACAGATTTCTTAGTTCTTTCAGCACTCCATGGTACCTTCAGCATTCTCCGCCAGCACCACAACTCAAAAGCATCAACTCTTCTTCTGTCCTCCTTATTCACTGTCCAGATCTCGCATGCAAGCGAGGCGACTGAAAACACCATGGCTTGGTCGGGTGCACCTTACTCCTCAGAGTGCTTTCTAACACAACTTGGACAGAAAGATGGAACAGCAAGAGGTCAGGCCAGTAGGGGCTAAAGGGGGAGAGAGCAGGGAGGGCAAGGGAGGCTCAGAACATGTGTGGTCAGATGCACACAGCTGCGGCACAGTGAGCCGCATGGTTATCGGTCACTGGAGCGCGGCCGCGGTGCAGTGAGCTGCGTGGTTATCGGTCAGCTGCCCCTGGCCGCGGTGCAGTGAGCCACTTGGTTATTGGTATGGAAGCCGGTTGCCAGGCCGGTCTTCCATTGTGCTGCATGGTGGGTCTGAACATCCCACCTTTTGGTTGGTAACTGTAGTGCAGTGAATTAGTTAACATGGCCCCTCCACCGTGGTCTTTGTAACTCGTGCTAGTGACTGGGTGAGACTATGCCAATGTGAGGTGCCCGTGGCCTAGCAAGGGGCCTGGAGAGCTTGTCAGCAACGTGAATAAGGTACGTGGTGCCCATGTGGGGGTGGGCCCAGGGGAATAAGCTGTATGGAACCTTAACGTGGGGACTGGTCAGTTTTGCCATTCCACTGGATGACAACAACACGGAAAAGGAGGGGACTGGAAGTAGGCCTGGAGCAGCCTGAGGGGGTGGGCAGCCTGGCTGCTGGAGGAGTCTGGGAGCAATCGGGAACGGAAGACAGTGTGGCAGGTCCTCTGGACGGGGTACGTGTGCTTCCCATCAGCTGGGCAAGTGGCACCTGCTTTTGTCAACAGGAGATGCTC